TGCATCAAGATGTACATGTACACTGTACATTTTTTTTTTTTTTTTTTTTTTGACAGTGAGGAAAATGTTATCAACTCCAAAGCACGAAAAAGGCCAAAAACTAAACCAAGAACATATGCAATAACATGTTATTTATAAAGACAGGACAAGTGAATAATTAGTCAGTCCATTGTTCATGATGATCTCCGACGGTTACGTCGGCAAGCGAGCCTCCGCCACTGCCAAAGCAGCGTGGGCTCCGCAGGAGGGTGCAAATTTCAAACCAAAATTTAAACGCCTACAACCGCGAATGCACATGATACAGGATTTCAGAAGGCTGAAGGAAATCCTGCATCTAACAAATGCCATAACATGAGAGTAATGCTCACCCCTCTTCTCCGCCAACAGATGAGCAATTCGTTTGTACAGTGCTGTTGATGCTGGACCCATTCCGCCACTGGCTGACATGACCGCCGGAACAAAGGAGGCTTGCTCAACCTGCCTCACCCGCTCCTCATAGTGCCTTCTCTTTTCTTTTTCATGTCGCTGATACACAATAGTATGTGGTGCAGATCGATTTGAGCGTGAGTGAGGATTAAAAACCCGTATATCAATAAGTGTACGCTCAAAACGACTGCCCCACAAACCATTGGCAGCGACATCCAACCGGGCACGGTCTTCCACATTTGCGGTCCGGTAGCGAAGACGCTCCCCCGTCAGCGGTTGCAGCAAGGGCTCGATGGACACACTGGTGCACACCTCGTCCAGCAGCCGGGCCGTGACGTCCCGAATACCATTGTGTCTAATGGAACAATTTTTTGAATCTCAGGGGGTGGTTGACGTTTTTGGTGCTCCTCGGAACAGCTTTCCGGGAGCCCCCCGCAGCAGTTTTACCCTTCTACCTTTGTCCTTGCTGAAACTAAGAATGTCCCTGGACCAGAACATTGATCTTGCCCTGATCGGGTACCAGGAACTAATCGCCATCGCTGAACGCAAGTCCCTGGACTCCCCTTCGAGCCTCGCCCGGCCAGAGCTGGTGCAGGCACTGCGGAAGCACGGCGTTGGAGGGAAGCCCGTCACTGACACCGGTACGTCGTGGATTAATGACTCTAAGCTAGATAGCCTTGCTAACACTATCCAGGCCTTGGCGGGGGAGATTGCCTCCATGAGGGAGGACAGGGATAGCATAATTTTGTCCTTGAAGCTGGAAATTTCGGAGCTGAAGGGGGAAGTGCAACAGCTTCACCAGCAGCAGTACAATGGTTCATCCAAGGCCGTACACTGCGACACTCCAGACATGCAATCCCGTTGTACTCGTACAGTGAGTACGAATAGCACACAGCCAGAAGAGGATGCACGCACTCTACACAGCAGGTCAACTAGCACTAGCAGGGCCACCGTACCTAACACCAACCACATGGAACGCAGGAACATACCCGTACACACTGGTAGAAATGCAACAACTGGGGGCGCACTTACAACAGCAGGCGCCGGTGGTGCACCAGTACAGCCCACATGTACTCAGGGTGCTGCTGGGAGCACAGAAGGCGATCCCCATCAGAACAACTGGCAAGAACAGCGGCGAAGGAGCAATAAATCAGCGGCCCACAGCGATCCCATTGCCCGGGCAACAAAATCCAAAGTTGTGTCTGTCTACAGAAAAATGGCCACAGAAAACCCCAACCCCAACACACTCACTGGCACACATCTTCCCAAGCGATGTGCCTTCTTTGTCGGGAATGTTAGCCCTGGAAGTAAGGCACAGTCCATTGTTACCTGGTGCGCTGATAGGGGCGTTGATGTATACGCATGCACAATTGCCGAAACCCAATACTTTGGTACCTGCTATGCACGCGTTTCTGTCGCGGAAGAGTTTGAGCAAACGCTGCTTGACAAGGAATTCTGGCCCGACACCATTGCGCACACCGTCCGCAAATGGCGCTATGCCGACTCCGCTAGCAAGTGATGGGTCCTCGGTCACCTAGCCAACAGCTAAATCCTCTTGCCCAACCCTTTGTGCCCCACGCAAGTTCATCACACCCTTCCCCTCATTGCGTTACATATTCTTCTATATCTAGTGGTCATATTCCACTTGCACCACCATTCCTTCCTGATTCTGGACGACAAACCAGTACTAAAACTCCTAATCAACAGCAGCTCCACGACGCCCCCTACCACAAACTAATGTCGGTCTTCACCCCGTTGAGCGCTCATGCTTTCCCGTTTCTCCCGGACCACGCACATTCTATTAACATTGTAACTATCAACTGTCGCTCTGTAACAAACAAACTTCCGGAATTGTACGCAATATGTCAGGCCAACAAGCCCACCATAATATGTTTAACAGAAACCTGGCTAAGCCCGTCACTTTCATTCAGTGTTCCAGGCTACACATGCTTCCGTAAAGACAGATCTACACATAAGAACCTGAGATCAAACCTACGTGGATATGGTGGCGTGGCCATTCTCATACGTGATGGGACATTTCCACATTGCACCCGTCGCCATGACCTTGATTCTCCCCAAAGCGAGGCCTTATGGCTCGAGCTTGGTGCACCGGCAGGTCTCCGGGCCAATCCGCTACTCATTTGCTGTCATTACCGCCCCCCTTCACAATCCCTTCTTGATATCACCTCCTTTTGCGACATACTTACCGACACGCTGTGTTCCTTGGACCTCTCTTTATTTGATGTTTTTCTTACCGGTGACTACAATGCCCACAATTCTGACTGGTGGAGTGGTGACACCACATCGCGTGCTGGTACGGAGCTATCACACGTGTTCTCTAGCTTTGGCCTCCAGCAGCTTGTCAATTTCCCCACCCGTGTCGCTCCGAATGGAAGACTGTCCTGTCTGGACTTGCTTGCTACGAACCGCCCCCTCTCTGTACGCTCTGTTGACGATGCTGCCCCGCTTGCTGCATCGGATCATTTGCAAGTCATTACAACGCTAGCCTACAACATTGCCACTGCTAACACCTCTTACAACTGCTCTCAGACTCCTACCCCTCCGCGACATGCCTTCCGCAAGGTTACACCCTCCACTTGGTCAATCATCAACTCTGCACTTTTTGCCTGTGACTGGCATCTTTTATTCACCTCCACTACTGTTGATGAAGCTGTGGAGAAGTTCACCACAGTTCTTGATGACGTGCTCTCCTTCTATGTGCCACAATACGGAGCAAGACCCGCTACACCCAAACATGGCAGCCACCACCCTCGTCAGTCCAGCCGTAACCCCAAGATCCCTTGGCTCGACAAAGATCTCCAAGGTGCAATTAAACTCAAATACGACTACTATAGCTTAAGTAAGAAGTACTCCACCTATGCTAATATTTCTTTATACAAAAAACAGCGCAATCTGGTGAAGTCATTGTCACGTTCTAAGTATCGAGCATATTTACGTTCGCTCACTACCACCCTATCTCACC